CAGCAGCAGTAAGCGCAACGGCAGGAGTGCAGCAGCTAGCAGCGAGCCAGCAGCTTGCTACTACTACTATAATATTTGTAGGAGATTTCAGAAGGGACGTTCCGGCCTCGGGAAACGCATATTTTGGATTCCGTTCGTCCTTCAGGGCCATGGTGTTTCCCCGTCCGGCAGGGCTGTGCCTTTGTGGGCACAGCAGCAGCAGTCGCTGTCGCCTCTCATTAGCATGGGGTTTCCTTGCCGGAAGCTGTGAAGGGTCAGCTAGCAGCAGCAGCAGCTCCAATAGAATTTTTGTCTAGGGTTCCAGCAGCATCAGTAGCAGTAAGAGGAACGGCAGCGAGCCAGTAGCCAGCATAGCATTGAGATTGAGAAACGTATAGCAAGCTTTTTGTAGGAGATTTCAGAAGGGACGTGCAGCAGGTAGCAGCCAGCAGCAGCCAGCAGCAGCCCGCACCAGCCAGCAGCAGCCAGCAGCAGCCAGCAGCAGGCAGCAGTACGTGTCTGGCAGGCAGCATCCGGCAGCAGCAACCAGCAGCAGCCGGCGTTAGGCAGCCAGCAGCAGCCAGCAGCAGCCAGCAGCAGCCAGCAACAGCCAGCAGCAGGCAGGAGCAGGCAGCAGCCAGCAGCAGGCAGGAGCGGCAGGCAGCAGCAGGCAGCAGGCAGCAGGATTCCTTTCTGTAGGAGATTTCAGAAGGGACGTTCCGGCCTCGGGAAGCGCATATTTTGGACTCCGTTCGTCCTTCAGGGCCATGGTGTTTCCCCATCCGGCAGGGCCGTGTCTTTGTGGGCACAGCAGCAGCAGCAGCAGCAGCAGCAGCAGTTGTTTCTTGCTTTGGAGGCTGTTTGATTGCAGCAGCACGACAGCAGCACCACAGCAGCAGCAGCCACCAGTAGCAGCACCAGCAACAGCAACCAGCAGCAGTCGGCGTTAGGCAGCCAGCAGCAGCCAGCAGCAGCCAGCAACAGCCAGCAGCAGGCAGGAGCAGGCAGCAGCCAGCAGCAGGCAGGAGCGGCAGGCAGCAGCAGGCAGGAGCGGCAGGCAGCAGCAGGCAGCAGGATTCCTTTTTGTAGGAGATTTCAGAAGGGACGTTCCGGCCTCGGGAAACGCATATTTTGGACTCCGTTCGTCCTTCAGGGCCATGGTGTTTCCCCGTCCGGCAGGGCCGTGTCTTTGTGGGCACAGCAGCAGCAGCAGCAGCAGCAGTTGTTTCTTGCTTTGGAGGCTGTTTGATTGCAGCAGCACGACAGCAGCACCACAGCAGCAGCAGCCACCAGTAGCAGCACCAGCAGCAGGCAGCAGGCAGCCGCAGGCAGCAGGCAGCCGCAGGCAGCAGCAGGCAGCGGCAGGCAGCAGCAGGCATCAGTAGGCAGCAGCAGACACAAGCAGACGCAGCAGCAGTAAGCGCAACGGCAGGAGTGCAGCAGCTAGCAGCGAGCCAGCAGCTTGCTACTACTACTATAATATTTGTAGGAGATTTCAGAAGGGACGTTCCGGCCTCGGGAAACGCATATTTTGGATTCCGTTCGTCCTTCAGGGCCATGGTGTTTCCCCGTCCGGCAGGGCTGTGCCTTTGTGGGCACAGCAGCAGCAGTCGCTGTCGCCTCTCATTAGCATGGGGTTTCCTTGCCGGAAGCTGTGAAGGGTCAGCTAGCAGCAGCAGCAGCAGCTCCAATAGAATTTTTGTCTAGGGTTCCAGCAGCATCAGTAGCAGTAAGAGGAACGGCAGCGAGCCAGTAGCCAGCATAGCATTGAGATTGAGAAACGTATAGCAAGCTTTTTGTAGGAGATTTCAGAAGGTGTTAGTGTTGTTAGTGTTGTTAGTGTTGTTAGTGTTATTAGTGTTGTTAGTGTTGTGTTAGTGTTGTTGTTGTTGTTGGTGGTGGTGGTGGTGGTGGTGGTTGTGGTGTTGTTGTTGTTGTTGGTGGTGGTGGTGTTGTTGTTGCTGGCGGTTGTGTTTGTCTTGATAGTGTTGTTATTGTTATTGTTGTCGTTGTTGTTGTTGTTGTTGCTGTTGTTGTTGTGTTGTTGTTGTTGCTGTTGTTATTGTTGTTGTTGTTGTTGTTGTTATTGTTGTTGTTGTTAGTGTTGTTGTTGTTGTTGTTGCTGTTGTTAGTGTTGTTGTTGTTACCGTTAGTATTGTTAGTGCTGTTAGTGTTGCTAGTGTTAGTGTTGTTAGTGTTGTTAGTGTTGTTAGTGTTGTTAGTGTTGTTAGTGTTGTTAGTAGTGTTGTTGTTGTTGTTGGTGGTGATGGTGGTGGTGGTGGTGGTGTTGTTGATGGTGGTGGTGGTGTTGGTGTTGCTGGCGGTTGTATTTGTGTTGATAGTGTTGTTATTGTTGTTGTCGTTGTTGTTGTTGCTGTTGTTGTTGTTGCTATTGTTATTGTTGTGGTGGTGGTGGTTGTGGTTGTGGTTGTTCTTGTTGTTCTTGTTGTTCTTCTTGTTCTTCTTGTTGTTGTTGTTGTTGTTGTTGTTGTTGTTGTTGTTGTGCTTGGGCCCATGTTTTTTTCTTTCCATTTCACAAACCCAATTATTACGAATGTGCCTTTTTCCTTGCGAAGCCTACGACTCACGCAAGGGTGGTCAGACACACCATCCTAAAAAGAAATGGAAAGAAAAAACCATGAGCACAAACCAACAATTCCTTGCCAAACAACCACGTGCGACACAATTAAGCTTCGTTCAACTCCACAAAGTGAAGATGCCCTTATGATAATGTCACTTATTGTAAGTTCACCCAAAATCGAAAACAGCTACCCAAACAGCTACCCCCCCACTTCACATGGCACGCACCTGAATGGACATGCATAGGCTCCGACGGCTCCATGACAGTCAATATATCATGAAAAACCCATTTACAAATGAAAATTCAAACCTATCAAATATATTTCACAACAATATACATAGGAAAAAGGTCGAAAGCCTCAAGGTGCGAAGCACCGAAGAGTTTTTATGCCAATTTGCTTGGCTTCCTTGCCGATTCTTCCGGGGTCGGCGGCAGGGGCGGCAGCCCTTAAATAAGTTTCCTCCAAACGATGACAAGTAAATCCCTACTGAAGTAGTGATGATTCACTTTTCTATCTTTTGGGTTGGCATATTTGATGTGAGGCATATCTGACTCAAGATCTCCGAAGTTCCCAACACAGCACACTGTCCCATGGGCACAGCAAAAGTGCATGCCGCAGGCAGCGCTACCGAGCAACATCGTTGGCATCCACTGAGATTTCTCTTGCAGAACCGCCTGTCCCAAGTTGCCAGCTATCTGCAGCGCATACCTCAGCGCGGGAAGTATCATCACGACCCACAAATCCATGGGATACAGCAGTTTGATTGAAACTCCCACCTAGCAAGTGTATCGTAGGGGTCGCAGAAGGGATGGGACTTCCAAACTATATATTTTGATGCGGGTTTGTCTTTGTACCGTTTTTGGGCGCACTCAGAGATCTCCCATTTCATGATTCACCCATTGCTCTCAAACAAGTGGCTTGTTGACACCCTGGGTAAAATCAGAGTCATGCGCCAGAGCCTCAAGCAGATCAAGCAGCTGACCGGAATCCCATGGGGCTGCGACGGGATCATCCGGCCACAACGGCATAGTATACATGGTATCGAGAAATGGGTGGCATCCCATTCCAAAGGCAACCATGCGTCACGAACGTCACAAGCAGAGTCCTTGTGAAGATCTAAAGGGTATCTCAGACTCGTCTAAGCTTCTACTCTGTCGCCTGGCACCCTGGCACCCGAAGAACATACCTAGCTAGGGGGCCGTAGCCGACCGCAGGTTGTCACGCGCCTTGTCCAACTTTGGCTTCCAAGTTTTCTCCTGCTCCTGCAGCTAGTGGTCGAATCAAGGGGCCAAGAGCCAAGACTTCAAGGTCAGGTGCAGAAAAGTCCCACTAGGGCAGCTACAAATCTTCAATCATCACCGATGCAGCACCTGGATGGCCGAACCGATGCCAAAGCCAAAGTCCAAGAGCCACGAAGCAATCCTCATGATGTGGCCGGTGACGGTGAAACTGGTGAGTCTTGGACCGCATCTGGCGACTTTTACGGCATTTTTTACCAGTTTTCAATGAAGCCAATTTTTGGCCAATTACCTAACGCTTTTAGTCTTTGGAGGGAACACCATGTAGGAGAAAAATCACACGCCACTTGAGAGCTTGTGGGCCACTTAACCGCGGTGTTCCCCCACAAAAATAGCAACGTGGCCAATCTCAAGTACAACTTTGAAACATGGGTAGGGTAAATATTAAAGACCAGAGATTCTTGTCATTTTGAGATAGTAAACCATCCAAAACTTGCACAGTACCCAAGTTGAACCCCTACTTCATTTCTAGGCCGTAAAAATGTCCCATAAACTGCCGATCGTTGGTAAACACCGGGTGAGGATCCAACCCCCGGCCCAGTTCTCCAAGGCACACCCGGCGCATGCCCACGTGAGGCAAGGCCAAGCCCCCCCTCAGGGCAGTTCCCAGGAATGGGGAGCAGAGCAGAGCGAGCAACAGGAGAAAGACGGAGGCCCAACGCTCTGGATAGATCCAGAGGATCACACCTCAACCCGGCACAATTTTTCTTGTGATTTACAGTGACAAAAAAAAGTTCGAAGTGTTACTGTTAAAGAAAAGATGGAGATTTCACCAGTTTCACCTACAATGGATTGAACAAATGTTGCTCTTTGACCCACCAATTAGCTGGAATATGGGCCATGTCCAAGGTACAAACCACTTACGCTGCTGTGATCAAACATGGCAATGGAAAATTGCACGTTTACAGGTGAATTTCTCTTGAAAACTTCCATTTACAGTGGAAGTCCCAGCCAGCCATGTTTGATTACGAGAGTGGGTAATCAGACTACAAATCATACTGTGATGCAAAGGCTGAGTCTGATAACTGTGATTCCTGGCAACTTGTGATTTGGCTGATCAGCCAAGTTGCCACCAGTCTCTAGATGAGGAAAGATCTTGTTGAGGCAAAGCAACTCTCTCTCTCTCTCTCTGGTGAAATGTTCTGAGATTCCCAGCAGAAATCTCCAAAAATCACCGAACTTCCATGAACCGGGCTGGCTGCCACACCTTGCCACCAAGTTACCAGCCACTAGCAGCAGCAACGATCGAAGCCAGCTCCAGCCCCGCCACTCAGGCGGTGGCTCGGCTTGGCGCTCCAGATCCACCGTGATCTGCGAAATCTGCGATGGGGCTGCAGGGGGTGGACATGGGTGGACCACCATGGGTAGATCTGAAAATTGGTGATTTTACCACCATTTTACCACCAATTTATGGATATTCATGGCTGCTTTGGTGGATATTCATGTTGCCTGCATATCTGCAGTGAGAAAAAAGAAAAGAAATGTCACGGCAAAATCCACAACATTTTTTTCAGGAAAAGAATCATTTGCATATGAACAGTCTGTCTTTCTTGAAAATAGTCCAAGCATCTGCAACTGTTTTCTTTTGGTACCAGGGTTGTTTACTGGAGGGCCACTCGGGTGGCCAACCAAGCGTTCGTGGGCATTACTCACCACTCTTCATAGGTCACATACGGGAGATTCAACTGTGCCCCTTTTTGCAGGCCGCCTTTGGCACCTCAGACCTTTCCACCAGAAGGGGTTCGCTCATGTCTGCCTGGTGCGGGAACCACCGTGACTGGGGGAGACCATGCCCGATGCCCCGTGTCCTGGAAGGGACTCACTGTTCCAGATCATCTTGCTCGATATGATCATACACCCAGGAGTCAATGCTGGTTGTATCGGTATACCTTCAACATCCTTCAACGCCAGATGATACCAGATGGAGGGCATATGGGATCCATCTCGATTTCTTCCATCTATCCATCGTTGCCCCGCCCCGCCTTCTCCCTCGCCGACGCTGGTGCCGGCACCGCGGGCATGGGAGGATCCCTCCTCGGTTCCTGGGCGCGCGCATGCAGACGCTGGGAGGGCAGGTGATGGAAGGTATGGATGTGGGAAAGCTGAAGTGACTTTTTTTCGGCCATCATTCTTTGGTGTGCATTTGAAGAATCATGATTTCTTCACCGCGGTGCTTTTAAAGGGCACCAAACCTTCCTCATCCATCTCATCCATCTCAGTACAAGGCTGTGTTGAGTCCAACATCATCAGTACTTTGATAACCGGTGGGCAATTTGCAACCACAAACCAGCCACGCCTCATGAAATAATGGGGCAGCCACCGGTGCTGCAACAGCCTTAACAGACTCGTGGCTGTTAGGACGTTCATGGGATGACCAGCGATGGTTTTCCTTGTGGAGGACTCACATTGACAATGTGATGTACCCGGCCTGGTAAACGTTTACGTAACTATTGGAAAGATCCACCATTTTTAATGGGAAAGCTCACTATAAATCACCATGTTCAATAGCTATGTGAAATTACCAGAGGGTAATTGATCATCCAAACATGTTTCAACCTGGACACGCCTCCCACGATTGGGCAAAAGTGATGGGGAAAATCCTGCAATCTGCGCCGCAACATCCAAACCAAATGGCACTTTGTTTCGAACTCGTGCGCGAGGGAATGGACGGAGGCCGCTGAGGCGTGAAGATGGGATAGACCGGCACGGAGCCTGTCACGAAACTGGCGCCATCGGAATGTTGGGAGCATCAACGGGACCAAACCGAAGCAAAAGGCGATTATTGGAACGACACTCCCGGTCCCAATCGAACATACCTAACAGACCCTGAAAGTCTACTGACTCAGTTTGCCACCCTTCATGGTAGTGATAATCCTCTCTCTCCATCGCCATCTCGTGGATCATCACTACTATATATAACTAACTTATATAACCCCCGGATACTCTATGACCCGACGCCTGGAACGGCACTGGCGGGCGGGGGCGTCCTGGCGCCAATATGATCAATATGTCTGCAGCCAAACTTGGCACGGGTTGAACAACTCAGCACCAAAGAAATTCTCAGCTCCTATACCCGCTCGCAGGCAACGGCCTGAGTCGGGTGCGCACGTTCTCGTCCCAAAACTGACCCATTTCAGTGACCGAGTGAAACTCACACTGAACAGCTGAAGTGCTGATTGAAAAACATTGAAAAACAGGATATTTCACCATTTCAGTCCTTTCGGGGTGTCATTTGCATTGCCTGTTCGATGGAATCCAATTGCTCGCGACGGACTGAATAGACTAGCTAGTGACTGCTAGTGGCTCTAGCGGCATTTTTCCCGTGCCATTACTTAGTTTCTAGAGTATCAAAGTGAAATTCCATGCTCCAAATTCAACTATGTTTCTCGTTGTTTCTACATGTTTCTCCGGCAATATCTTTCACCATTTCAGGCCCTTTCCCGCCAGTACCATCCCAGGTGGCCTGAGACTGCTCGCTTGCACGGGCGCGGTTTGAACAAACTGCCCTTGCGCGGGCGGCTTTCGAGGGAGCATCGATGGCGTTACGGATTGAGAATCCGGGCAACCATGTACTTATGGGCAATACATGTCATACATGTCAATCTTAGAACCCCCGCCCCTCCAAAAAATAGCTGGTTAGAAAGTGCCCAATTTATAGCAAAAGATTAAAGTATCTGTACCAGGTTGAGTTGACCCAGAAAATTGGGACCTAGGACAATGGAAAAAATAGTTAGCTCCTTGCTATCGGATTGCATCTTTTGCCTTCTTTTGTCGCATCGCTATTGCGCTCAAGAGAAAAAATCGAGAACACAGGGGAAAAACATAATAATCATGAATAATCATAAATGATCATGAATAACCGAGAATGAGTTGCTTCAAAACTACAGTAAACTGCAATGATTGAAATCGTTGTTTTCAGCCCTTGCCAATGCCAAGCTCCAGGTGCCTGGTCCGCCAGGTATCTGTCGCACGGTCCTGGTACGCGAATGGGCCCATTCGATCACACTTCCGCCACGGAACCCTCCCAAACCAAGCCATCCCAAACTGTACCACATCTTCCCAGGCAGAGTTGGGCTAGTTTCATCTAGTTTCAATAACAACCCAACAAAAACTACCATCTGGTTATTTAACATAGCCATGGAAAATCCCCAAAATAAATGGAGGTTTCTAGCTGGTAAAATCATCTATAAATGGGCCATCTATACCATAGCTATGTTAGTCATAACCAGAGGGTAACCCAACAAAAAAGATACCAACTCATCGAGCCATGGCACTGTGGCCATCCACGAGGCGACGGTCTCATGAGGCGAGGTTCCATCAGACGCCGAATGGACGTCTTGGTGCGGCGGTGGCTGGTAATGTCCTGGAGATCCATAGGTATCATAGGTCATCATATAACAGGGGGATCCTGGGATCCTGGGATCCTCAAAAAAGATATGAAAAGTTAATGTACCCTCTGGTAATGTCAAAATAGCTATTGAAAATGGCCATAGAAATAGTGAATTTTCCCATAAAAAATTGTGATTTTCCATAGTTATGTTAGTTTACCAGAGGGTAACCCAATTTACCAGCGAGTTTTAGGGAACTCTTTGTTTATCTATGTGGTTAAATCATGTTAAATCATGTTAAATCATGTTAAATCGAAAGGAGTCATTCTCTTCACCTTTTCGTGATCCTGTCAATCGCTCCCGCGGACCGTTTGTACACTCGCAGGTCAGTTGGTGCTGTCCAGTCCCAAGACCGAGACACCCTTCACACAATGCTGAAAAATGTTTTGGCCTGGCTCAATCTCAACGAGTTCAATTGGCTTGAAAACAAGTCCATGGTAAAAGCAGTGAAACTCTGTGTGTGTGTGTTTTGCCCTCAACCCATCACCAGCGAGAGCCTCGGCGCGCACTGGGGTCGTCCTCTCTTGGTTTGAACTCTGGGTCAGTTGAACCCACCAATCTCACAGAAGGTTCCAACAGCCACAGCCCCTTTTTTTGCGGAGAAAGCGATGGAGACTTCGTCCACCCGCGCTTCAGGTGAGCGCAACAGGACGGACTACCGCAGAGGTCGAGGGAACTCGGGAACTCAACTCTTGAGGACGGGCCAGGGTTGGCATCACGTCCGGAAATTTGACAACGAACCCCAGAACGGTCATGTGAGTCATATCCAAAAAAGGGGCGAGAACCTTTGAAGAGTCTTTGGGGTCCAGAGTAGTTTTATAGGTTTATGCTGATTTGTGATATCTGATTTCAAGTCAATGTTTGATCTTTTGGGTGGTTCCCCTGAAGACTTTGACTTACAAAAGCTGCCTGGAATCCAAATATGTTCCAACCCAGTCTTTTCGGTTCGTGTAGGGGATGTTGGGGAACATGCTTTGTAGGGGGGATCCCAATGTAATGAATATATCCACAGTGTAGATGGATCCCTATTTCAATTGGGCTTTTGCAAAGTTGCCCCCTCTCGAGTGTGGTTTCGCGAACCGCCTCATTCAGCTGATGAAGCTCTATACAACTGCTGATGGAAAGCTCTCGCAACCCGAGGCTATAATGGTTTCACCCGGCAGTTGCGCCTACCGGGAACCACCTCCCCAGTTTGCACAGATGCTTTCTTGCCAGCATTTCTAGGCACAGCAGCACCATAGTACCACAGTGCTGCAGCCGACTAATCCAAAAGGCCGTGGCTATAATGGCCCTGAATTCAGCCTGGGTTTTTTCCCGAGCTGGAAGCCCTCAAGGCTTGGTCGACACCGCGTGGCGCGTTCAGAAACGAACCTTTACACCTACCCGGCAGGTTCCGATTGGAGATCGGAGGCCCCATGTTACCCAGGCCACGTCACCTATCGTCACCTGCCCTGCCACCGGTGTCCAAAAATGGCACCCGGAGCCACCAGAGATCGCTTCTCTGGCGGCTCCCAGGGATTTCAGCTGAATTCGTGTGGAATAAAAACGACACCGCTGTTGACACCTTTGTCTTGTCGATTCACGGTGGACCCTTTAGAATCTGCTTCCCTACAGTTGAAACAGCTTACAAGTTATATATATATATACACATGTGTGTGTGTGTAACCGGGAAATCCATCTCCAGTTTGTTACACTTGTTCACCATCCCTTATATTTTAATTGACAGCCTTGACATATTTCTCGGCTCAAGTCATCCTCACTTGAATAGCGTCTCCTTGGTGATGAGATGCGAAGAGTTGAAACGGCCAATGTTGGGGAACACCTTGGCCAAGTCGACAGCTGGGCCTTGACATCATCCACCTCTACAGTAAGCCAATAGTAACCCCCCCAAAAAATAGAAAAGTACAAGCCCACTAAAATATACTAGAATATAATGATGAATGACAAAACTCAATCTTTTTGGGTTACCAAAAACATAATTCATGATGAGCTTTAAAAGGGATCAGCAAGCTCCGACAGAAATCCACCCGATTCCATCACCGGCCTGGCTCGCTTGTGATGGCTCCATGCCCATCCATTCAGCCACTGGCATCATCATCCCCTCCAAAGGATACCTCGCCACAAAAGGCGACCCTGAGAAAACCTGGAGATGCGTAACATGGACTACCAAATACTTCCTGAGGATGGGAGAGCACTCCACCATACTCCACCTATCACCTATGTTGACCGTTGATGACGTTTGAGCTTGTACTATATTGTACTAGAACCTAGGTCCAACCCTTGTAGTGCTTCCCCATCAAACCCAAACGTCTTTCAAACCCTGCCAGCGGACCGGCCGCAGGAATTTGAGGATTTTGCAACTACATGAAAGGCAAGTTCGTGTCAAAAATGCACAGGTTTCAGACAAATTTCTATCTTTTGGGTCTAGACCCCCCAGAAAATTAGGGTAATTACCCAGTTTTGACCCAAGATGACCCCAGATAATCCGATAGATGACGTGAAGATCACTGAAGATCAGTATATATCATTATAGAAACATCCACATCTCCAAGCCGTGACTTTTCGCCGCCTCGCCTGGGAATCAGCCGGCCACGGCCTGCGTCCATTTCCGACCCTTCCGCCAGGCGAGGGTACTGATTGATGAGGCCGCCCTTCACCGCTCCACTGATCACCTGGCCACGGGCTGTGGTAAATGATTGGGTAATGGGATCCAAAGGGATCACATATGCCGAAAGTGAATGAGAGTGAGGACTTTGGGTGACTTGCAAGGGCTTTATGTGCGTGGAGTTTTTCAAACCAGGGAGCTGAACATGCTCCCAAAATCAGCCTGCAAAAGAAAGTAAGTCGCGTGAAATGGTAAAGCTTGAGGTTGTTCTATGCTTCACCAGGCTGCAACCATCAAGCTCCCAAACTTGCCCAAAAAGTCTGGAACATATGGTCAGACAAAGACAAAGATAATAACAAATACTAAAAATACCTGAGTAATATCAATGAAAAAGCTGGAAAATGTGGGAAAAATATACTGCCATTTGTTAACTTTGCGGCCATTTGGATGCCAGACCAGCCATGGTCCGTTCCTGCATTGCTGTTGGGCGTTAGGGTGCGCGCAAAGTCCGAGTGCGTCACAATGACCACGTTGTCGAAGGTGCCCTGGGCCTTTAACTCTGCAACAAACTCCTCCAAGGCATAATTCACTTCGCCGAACCTTGGTGATTGAAACCGTCGGAAGGTATGGGAAGGTTGTGGCCACCCTGTTGGAATACTCTTCCCAACCCGAGATTTTTGGATCAAAAATTCCCGGCCAGCCACTTGGTGTAGAGGGCATTCTCCACTCCTTTGTGCGAGTCCCAGCCTCCATCCTCGATGAAGAAAAAGTCGCGCTCCGCCTGCCGATCCACCCGTGCCGAGATCAGCGTGGCGGCCTGCTTGAACTGGGAACGTAAGGGATGATAGCCACTGATCTCCTGGGCGTGGAGAACCGCATGGGGTTGAAAGGATTGCTGATGTTCAAGCAACTGTTGGGTTGAAAAAAAACAAACGACAATCATGCAAAAAGTGCTACAGAATGTGAGTTGTTGACACCCAAATCCCGGAAAAAGTGAGAACAAATAAATCCCATGCCGCACTGTGATTGCAAATGAGAAGTGACGTACGCGGTTTGAAGCTCGGCGTTTTCCAGTTGTTTTTCCAGGCCCAGATTGAAGCTGATGGATTGTTGGAACCTCTTGGCATATTCCTCGCCTGAGCAATGGGAAAAAAACATGGCCTTGCCCAAAGGAAAGCCAAGGGATCTGCTGAATCTGAGATATCTGAGGCTGCGGCAGTAGATGTTTCCATGTTGCGTGCCTGTGATGTTGTCAATGATGTCCTGCTGAGAACGTCGCTATGCTAGATGCAAAGTCAGGCAAGGCAAAGGTGCAAACGTCACCGTGGTTCAAATTTGATCACCCACCGCTCTGTATCTGAATGAATGCGAGCTCCCCGGCCCGATCCCAGCAGCCTTCAAGCGCTCGTACTCGGGGAAGGCGGACTCGCCCCCGTTGCTTCCCAAGACCTCGCCCGAGACATCGAAGCCCTGGGGCCAAGTGGCCTGGCACGACGGGAGGCGACAAAATTCTGCAAAAATCACTGGTGAAATCCTATGGTTTTTTTGGGGGGGGGTAGGGTTCTGGAAAACCAAGCAACTGGAGTTTCAGGAGAACTAGAGTTTGAAGGGATTGTCCGGATTGTCCCTAGTTTTTCGGAAAAAAAAAATAATGATCAGGAAAGATCCCAATGATAAAGTTTCAGTGGTGAAACTCCAACAGTTCATGACGATCGTTTCCTGCCTGTCCCCTGAGCGAAAAGGACTGCGTCTTGAAATCTCAGCTGTGGTTTGGGTGGAGGCCGGCGAGGGACTGGCCACTACTCAGGGTCCTAGCAACAATGGCAGCCAACCATTTACTTCTACAGTAGGTGGGATGATCTCCCAAGTACGCATGGCAATGTGATCCCTGGAGCAGGTTTGGTGGAGCAAATCACCACATCCAGATTCGATGCAAAGAAACAAAGAAAACAAACCAAAGGACAGAAACGCTTTAATAATCACTCCCTGCTCTTGAAAATCCCGAATGTCGTTGTTCCCAAAACTCCCCCATCCCCCGCCCCCAAGAAAACTATCCTGCATCCGCTTTCATCCAAACTCACCCCCGCAAAAAAAATCAGAATATATCAGAATCATCATGCATTTCCGTGTCCATTTCTCCAAATCCCAAAAATTGAAAACGCCTTCATGAACCCAAAACAGGTCATCACCATCCACCTCCATCTCCAAATCCCAGGCTCCCTTGGCGGCCACCGCATCTGCCATGCGCCCACCGGCGCCCTTGAACTCGGCCGTGGAATACTGGCAGGTCAGGGTCTCAGCTGCTCGCTGCTGGTCGGCATGACTAAAGAGGCCCTGGCAAGTCTCTCCGGTGCCTCCCTTGGCGTGGAAACCTGTACCTCGGCGGAGCATGGCTGGTGGATAGGAAGGAAAGAAGTGCAGTGGCAGATGTTTTTTTGTCCTAAACAGTGTGGCCACGCTGAAGGGTTCTTACGGTAGCAGTCAAGGGCCGCTGTTCAATCGAGGTGGTCTCGGAAGCGTCCGGCATTTTCCCTTTAAATTTCTGCGCAAAATGCTTCTTGTGACATGTCCATGTGCATTTCGACGGCGCAGGCTCGCACAAAACACCGGTCGCAGGACACGCGTGTGGCATTTTCCCTGCAAATTTCCGCACAAAATGCCTCTTGTGACATGTCCATGTGCCTTTCGATTGCGCAGGCTCGCACAAAATTCTGGACGCGGGGTTCGCGTCCGGCATTTTCCATCTAAATTTCCGCACGCAATGCCTCTTGTGGCATGTCGGTGTGCATTTCGACCGCGCAGGCTCGCACAAAACACTGGTCGCGGGATACGCGTACGGCATTCTCCCTGTAAATTTCCGCACCAAATGCCTCTTGTGACGTGTCCATGTGCATTTCGACTGCGCAGGCTCGCACAAAATGCTGACCGCGTCATCGTCATCGTCATCATCATCGTCGTCGTCGTCATCATCATCATCATCCTCCTCCTCCTCCTCGTCGTCGTCGTCGTCGTCGTCACCATCATCATCACCATCATCATCCGCATCATCATCATCATCATCATCATCATCATCATCATCGTCATCGTCATCATCGTCATCATCGTCATCATCGTCATCATCATCATCATCATCATCATCATCATCATCGTCCTCGTCGTCGTCATCATCATCATCATCATCATCATCATCATCATCATCCTCGTCGTCATCATCAACAACAACAACAACAACAACAACAACAACAACAACAACAACAACAACAACAACAACATTATAATGCATGACCTTTTTACTCCCCCCCACACTTTTTGGGATCTCTGGCCGGGATCAAAGAAGTGGATTGTTGCCAGTCAAAACTTGAGGCATATCAGGAACGCATTGAGAGTTACCCGTTCTTCCCTCACAAGAGCAGGGCAAGGCGCCAATCATGTCCGGGGTCAGGGGCTCCACCAAGGATCCCACATCGTTCACGAAGGCCAACTGGCGAAGATTGGGCGAACTGGTTTCCCCTGTGACTGCCTGGAACATTGATGTGTCTTACAAACTTGGGGGATCTTGGGGGCCCCAAAAGCATCCAAAAGCTTCTGAAAGCGTCTACAATGAGCCGTGGATGGTCCCTATTGGTAGCCATAGCTGTCAATTTTTCCCCTGCCAGTGCCTGGTCATCATCATAGAGTTCCTTGAGGAAAGGCAGCCGGGGATGGATCCCGAACTCGCTACAGGGCTGATTCTGCGCCTCCCGAGGCAGTAGTTGGTGGATGATCTGCTTAGCTGCGATGGGTTCTATATAGCGTGCATGACCCACTTGACATTTTGCAATTATGTAGGTAAGATTAGATAAGATATGATATGTGTTGAAGGAATTGTATGCCGGCTATGCCGGCACTCACTAGTGCACCCAGTTGCTCAGTGAAATTCTGGCCTAGCGCTTAACCTAGTTGACCGTCTGGTGTGCTCGGAAGAAAAGAGGCAAATTCAGCCTGCAAAAAGGCTGGAATGAGGCACCATTGCCTTGTCCCACTCAGGCCCTTCATACTCGAACAATATCTTTTGATATCTTTTGAATTGCTTGGTGATTAAGGGTTATATATATACATATCAACTTCAAAAGTCCGAAGCTCAATCAGCCTTTTCCCTATTGCTGTAAAATTGCATAAAAATGCAAAAAAAAATGGTATACAACCCATTTCCTATCCATTTTCATCCCATGAACCAATAGATCCGCCTGGATCTTGTGCACTTCATCTGGCAGTAGGGAGATACTGCGTCGCACCGTGGTGTACTCATCGTACAGGGGGCAGTCCATGGGCACCAACCTGGGCGTTGGACCGGCCGGGCCATGCCACTTGGACATATAGGGATGAGGGATAACGGATGATAATGCGGCACAATAATTTATATACCCTCTGGTAATTTAACATAGCTATTGAAAATGGCTATTTATAGTGGATTTTCCCATTAAAAATTGTGTTTTTCCATAGTCATGTTAGTTTACCAGAGGGTAGTAAAACTGCCCAGTTGGGGGATCTTTTGTTGCCACCCACTTCCAAATGATGGTTCAAGCCTGGGTTTAGCGCATTACTAATTACAGAAGACAAGTGCAAGGAAAGTTCGCTATGTCATCCGCATCCATCCGTGTTCCATCTAAGGGACATCTGGAAACTATCCATGCCACCCTTCAAGAAGAGCATGACCACGGCTTTGTATCCGGAGCCACTTCCCGTCTGCGAGGGTGGAGGCGAAGGTGGACGCACGCCGCCTGAAATCCAACAGATGCAACCCCCAAAGGCTAGGATATTCCGAAGCTTCAAAAAACGTTGTCCCTTGTCTGCCATGCCTCCTGCCCCCCTTCCCACCTGCCATTGGATTGCCCATGGTGTTGAACTCCGGGGTGAAGATCATGGCTTTCTGAGCATCCTGCGGGGCCAAGGCAAAATCGCCAGCTTTCAGGGGACAACTCATTGGCAAAGATGGGAAAATCCATGGTCCAGCGGCCAGCATCAAGGTGAATTTACCCAGGCCAGGGTAGACTTGGTGCTTCACCGAAAAAAAAAACTGCTGCCGAATCGGAACAACCGATTAGTGTGGGACCTCAAACATTAAACCCTTGCGGCACCTATCTGCACCAATGGACTCAAACAAAATGATCTTTCGGACTTCTTATTAGCCGATCATAAAATCAATCATAAAACGATGGACCATCAACAAAAAAAACATTAGAAAAACAAAAACAAATCATCATCTATTCTTTTAAAAGAAAACTATAAACTATAAACCATCAAAAAAAGTCATTAAAACCATCCAATTCCGGGCTGTTTTCCACATTTTCCACCCATTCCACGGGGCCTTCCAGCCATTGCGCTGATGATAGGCCGCCTGCACGGCGTGCTTGGCCTCCAAACGGCCCCCAGTCAGCAACAGATCCAGCTCCGGCAAGGATGCGCTCATGCCTCCGGTGGCCTCCATGGTACACGGCAGAAGAACACGCGTTTTTGTAGGTGTGTATCTTACGTGTTAACAGTAGTTGCACACACGCACACACGTATATATATATATATATACATCTCAAAGTGTCATATGAAACAGATACTGTCTCGCGCTCCCGCAGCTTTCTTTTTCCACAGCTATGCCTATGCTCAGTCAATTTCACCTGCAATCCTCAGGTTTGCTTTGGGTTGTCACGATGTGACACGTACATAGCCCCAGACCAGTTTCGCCACTGGTCAGCTGCCTGGCAACCCAGGCTGGAACCTGCTCTGCAGGAATCACCCATCCCTTAAACCTAAGGGAGGGAAAGTCTCTCTTGGTCGCCCCAAGAGAGGATCCCCGATAGAGGCTATGTACTCGCCTGCCGTGCAGGCTCCCCTAACCTAGGCGGACATCTCCACGGGAGGTCGGCTCTTAGGGTTGGGAGGGTGGGGAAAGAAAACAGCAATGAATGCTATTTTGGTTCAAGTTTACTTGAGCCAAAATGGTAGCATTCATTGAAACACTTAAAGATGATACATGCACACCCAAGCCTGCCAAACTCAATGCATGGGTACATCTCAAAGTGTCATATGAAACAGATACTGTCTCGCGCTCCCGCAGCTTTCTTTTTCCACAGCTATGCCTATGCTCAGTCAATTTCACCTGCAATCCTCAGGTTTGCTTTGGGTTGTCACGATGTGACACGTACATAGCCCCAGACCAGTTTCGCCACTGGTCAGCTGCCTGGCAACCCAGGCTGGAACCTGCTCTGCAGGAATCACCCAATGCACTCAATTCCCAAAGCACTAAAGGTATTCGAAGGTGAGAATGACAGCTGCAAAGGGTAGCTGGAACAAGATTGTAGGGAGGTACGACGAATAAAATTCAAAACCATGGCATCGCCACCATGGATCATTGACGCCAAGTCGGCTGATATCGTCAGCCCAGTTGCTCTTGCTCTGGACGTACTCCCAATATCCTTGGGCTCGCAGTGCAAACAGAGCTAGATGGATCAAATGACCTAGCTTCGCTAAGTCGGCATTGCTAGAACGTCCTCTCACTAGCGTCATGACGGCTGCTACGTTGTCCAAAAACCATAGGCCGTGTCGGTTTCGAAACAGATCAGGCCTTTCGACAAGGGCGTAGAGCACCATAGATAGTTCCAATTGGGCGATATGCGTCTCTGCAGGTTGCCAAAGTGTTCGGAGCTCTGCACAGTTGGTCGCGACAAAACTGTGACGAATTTGTGATCCGTCAGGCTGGAAAAAGATCAGATGAAAACCTCCTGAACCAGGATTGTCTGCTTCGACAGCTGCGTCGGAGGCTGCCAAAAATCGCAGATGATCCAGGTGCAGAACGGGAAATTCCCGCTTTGGCTGAAAGCGCATAACCGCTTCGATCACCTCGAAGCATGCTTCAATCTCGGGAGTGATGGTCGAGGTTGTCTCGTCTTGCCTGGCTTTGATGGCCATGAGGCCGCCATATCCCACTCGACCGTAGATGCCCTGTTCCAGGAAATTGGCCAAGCCGTACAGCTTCGATGCTGCCCCTCGGCTGAAATGGCCAGTCACCCTGGCTGTTGCCAACATGTCACGTACTTTGTCATGGAGCCGTTCTCGAGCCCAAAACTGTACGTGCCCTGTTTGGTTGATGGAGCTGAGATCATGGGTCAATCCCAAAAAGGTACCGGTGCTCTGCATTGGTTGTTTCTTGTCCTCTGCGAAGGGGGAGCCGATAAGAGAACACAATTGATTCATGGCCCATTGGCCTGACCCTCTTGAGGATTGCAAGTCTGTAATGGTCGCATCATCAAAGTACAGGGATGTCAAAACTCGGCAAAAACGCCTGGCTAGTGCCTCCAATAGTCTGGAAAAACGGTTGAATGATGTAACCGCCAGCGGCAGTCCGAAGAGTAGCCCAGCATAGACTTGGTATGCAGGGGTTTGCCATTCGTGATGGTACCACACCACCACGCAGCCCAGACTTTCCTGCAATGCCATAGGGCAATACCTGTATGCTGAAGGCAGATCTTCTTGTCCTGTTTCCCAGGCATCGTTCGCGAAGAAATCGGCCATCTCATCCTCTGTCCAACGATGCATTGCAAGGCGAATGTGCTGGGCAGGACGCAATGGACTGCACAATGTGAGCTTGTTAGCATCAGACGACAAGGCTGATTGTCCTCCGGTGTCCCCATTGTCGATCACACGCTGCTTGCCTGAGCTCTGTGTGATCACGCAACGCGGGATCAATCGATGGGCCTTGTCGCCAATGGCCCGCAGGAAATCTGTCCGTCGCAAGGGCTCTGTGCAGAAACCATTCGCTGCGTCCTCCAATGACTGCTGCAGGAGGAACTCATCATCCTTGCCTGCTCTCAGCTGGCTCAAGATGTGCTGATTGTGTTCCTGCCATCCCTCCAACACATCTGCCATGCTGATCACCTCAGCTGGTTGTTGGGGGAATATCCCATAAGGTGGTGCGTAGCCCACTGCAGGCAGCCCACGGATCAGACCATAGGGAAAGCTGGTGTCTGCCCAGGATGTCAGCAGCATCAGCAATGCGATGAGCCCCACATCGCGGTGCCGTGTTACCTGCTGGACGGCCGGCTCCTGGAAGGATCGCAAGTGGAGGGTCACCCCCTCCCAGCGTCTCTTCAGCTCTCGCATGGCCCCGACTGCCTGCTGTCGCCACGGGCGCAACTGCTGGCCATGTGCCACATAGGCATCTGCTACGAACTCCAGGTCTAAGTCGACAACTGGGAGGTCTTCGTAGGGCAACGGGTGCTGGGCTCGTTGGACTGCTTGGTTGAAGTGGTCCTCAGGATCCAAGTTGAACGGCAGCAGTGGGGGCAAAGCGGCACGGTGTGTCATCGCACCCACTTGGCACCCGTCCCCAATCCGTGCAAGCTGCCTCACTGACCCGGCAGCCAGATGCGGGACTAGGGGCCCGTCCCAAGCTTCTCCTCGCTCTGCAAGCCAGGTGGCATATGAGCAGAAGGGCGGGCTGTTGATGAGGTCTTCAATCATTGCAAACTTGTAGTTCTTGAACCAGTGCTCGGGGAAAAGCTTTTGGAATGCCAATACCAGTGCTTCTTGGCTCATCATGGGTAGGGCTACCCCCCTGGGGATAGCCTGGATCCCTTGCAACAATGCCACAGTCCTACTCCATCGGCCATCGGTGCCCCGCTGCATTGGGTCACCCCCAGGGGCGGTGGCATCGAAGAAGAGGCCAATGAGCATGTCCGCTTCGCACAGGTGCTCCATGGGGCAGTCGCACGCCAGCTCCATATTGCTAAGCTCATGCAAGGCGTCCCACAAAGGTGATGTTCGAATATGGACAATGTACCTGGCCGGCCATTCACCGGCTTCGCAGTTGTGGCCCGGTGTCCATGGCGATTTCCACTTGGTCGTCGGTAGGCGATGATGAAAGCTGCCTCGGCCGACGTAGATGGTCTTACGTGGTAGCTTGTTGTTCTCGATCATCACCTCCTTGACGAGCCTTCGGACCGGTAACCCCGATCGTTCAGCCCTCAAGGATTCTGTGAGGCCCAGCGTCACCGCCAGTGGTGCCATTGCCCACTCCCGCATTGCACGCGGGTCCATATCCAGCCAATGTTCACGGCGTCCGACTGACATGAACGTGGGCATGCGTGGGACATGCAGGACGGCTAGACCTGTGCGGACTGCCCACCAACTAGCCGACACTGCAATGGCAAAGGCAAGGACTGCTGTGTACTCTGCCTCTTCTTTGGATGGGTAAAACCGCTGGCCGTCGGAGGTGTAGGGGGTCCATTCCTGTGGGTCGTGCACATGGTGGCAATTGGCTGGGGGCCAGCGTTGGATCTCCTCCACATTGTGTCGTAGCACTTGATGCTTGCAACGCGCCCCACCCAAAGTACATGCCGCGTAGGCTGTGTCGAACCATTGTCCCGATTCCCACATAGTCACCTCTGTGGACGTCCACCAGTGCAAGGAGCGGGCAGGGTTTTCACGCACACTGCCTCCCCCCCTATCCCGCAACTTCTGAATTTCTCCCAAGACATAGTTGCAGGCTTTGTTGTCAAGGTCGACTCTTTGGGCATCCCGGCTGTTGAGGTGAGGCAGGCCATCAGGGTAGACCTCGGATCGAAGAGGACCAGGGGCTGGCCGCCCGTCTTCAAACTTCCTGGGGATCTCCCTGGCCCTGCTCTTTGTCGAACAGTCGATAGCTGCTGCTATGAAGATCACCTCTTCAAGCTGTTTGCTCAGGGATTGTTGCCGGCGCTCATCTGACAGGTCATGGCTGTCATCCAACAACCAATCCACTGTAATGCATTGCCACCCGCAACTGATGAATGCTTTGGTGAGGGGTGCGTTGGGACCTGCCATGAGATCTGCCATAAGAGGTCGCCCCTCTTGCGGCTCTAGCTCATCTGACCCAAAAGAGGCAGCCGCCTCCTCTTCTGGGGCGTGTCAACGCTTACCAGTGCAATTGGCTGCACCGTGGTTGAACGCTCCACATACCCGATCTTTCCTGACAACTGCTCCGCATCGATGGGCTCCCTGAGGACATGGTTTGGCCTTGCAGCCGCCTCGTTGAAATTGCGGGCAAAGTTTGGTACCATCCTTCATTGCCGTCGCCACGGGTTTGCCATTGATCGGCTTGCCCAACTTCAAGGGTGATGTGCTTGGCGGCACCTTAGATGGACTTGCAGTAGAGGCTGCGGTGGGGGCTGCACTCTTCCTGTCCGGGGTAGCAGGCCCTGGTGCAGACCAATGTGCGTCCCTGGACGTGTAGATCTCGCTGATCACCTGTCCCAAGCTCATCGTAGACTCACGAAATTTGGACACCCACTCACTGCGTTCCTCCACGTCTTTGGCCTGGAGCCATTGCATGCGCTGTGATGTAGGCAAACTTGCCACACTGCGCTTGGCTCTGAAGTAGTACTTGTAGACGATGTCCATGGGGACGTTGACAAACTTGACTGTATCGGCTCCTAAGTTGAGCTCTTGCGC